CAAAGTCTCAAAAAGATGTTGAGTCTTTGAAAGAAGTGCAAAGAAGAGTAACTAAGATAATTAGACCTGGAGACTAAAACATATGAAGAACAGTTACAGGATTTGGGTTTGGCTAGCCTAGAGAAAAGAAGGATTAGGGATGACATGATAGCAGTATTCCAATATTTGAGAGGTTGCCACAAAGAGGAGGGGGGCAATTTATTTTCCAAGGCACAGAGGGCAGGATAAGAAACAATGGATAGAAACTAGTCAAGAAGAGAAGCAATCTGGAATTAAAGGGAAAATTCCCAACAGTGAGAACAATTAAGGAGTGGAACTCAGAAGTTGTGGGTTCTTCATCACTGAAGGTTTATAAGAGGAGACTTCACTTGTCTGAAATGATATAGGATATCTTACTTGAGCAGGGAGTTGAACAACAAGACCTCCAAGGTCCTTTCCAGCTCTATTCCGATTGATTGATCAAGCTTTCTTCAATACCTTTAAAAGAACACTTTGCAGAAACAGTTCTTACTTTCCACTTGCTTTTCCTAGATGTCAGACAATAATGAATGGTCACCAATTCACTCTTATGGGAAATATTATAGTCAAGGCATGTGTAGTGGAGGACCAGGAGGTCTGGTATAGGTAGGTGACTTGCAATTTTGACCTTCTTGGAACCCCACAATAATCACTTTGTAGATGTGCAAGTTTAGGCACAGCACATTCTCAAAGCTTATCCTCTTCTGGGCTGGACTCAGAAGAATGACACTGATTTGCTCTTAAGTTGGGGTTTAATTTTTCAGCTTTTATTTTCTTTTGTTTCTTTTGATGGCTAAAGCCTATAATAAAATAACATAGAACTGAATTAAATTATATTACTGCCTCTGATCATTATGTGAAACCTGGCAAGTTGATCCACTTGGTCTCTCTTAGAAATAATTATTTAAATAGTAGTAGAACTAAGATGTGTCAGGTTTGTTGTCTGCTAGTAAAACATTTTTGGTTAAATTGAAGCAAAAGAAGACCATGAAATACAATGTCAAAGAGAGGGATTGCCACACTTTATTGCTAAACATAGAGTTATGTGATAACTTGGCATATATCATTATTGGAAGACTTAAATGAACTTTTGATCCAAGATGTCTATGGAGAATCTCAGTCATCCAGGTCATGGTTTTCCCAAAGGTGCTTTTTCAAGAGGCAACTGGACTTTCTGGTTTTTCTTTGAAGACATTTCACTTCTCATCCAAGAAGATTTATAGTCCTTGCAAACAGCTGGTCATTTGCAGTACTTTTGATGACTTGCTTTTCCTTTTGAGAATTCAAATGACCGATTGTTTGCAAGGAGTATAAATCTTTCCATTCCCCACCATCCATCCAGAGCTGAAGAAGCTTCTTCGATGAGAAGCAAAATGTCTTCAAAGAAAAACCAGAAAGTCTAGTTGCCTTTTAAAAAACACCTTTGAATGTTGATCCACAAATGTATAGGGAACTAACCCTTAAGTCTGTATTTAGAGACTGACTTCTGAACTGAATCCCCTGTTGTCCTTCCATCAGTACAAGAAAAAATAGAAATATTCTAATACAATAAGAATTTGAGAATGGATAAACTAAATGAAGTGCAAGCAAAGTTAGTCCAGTCACTCAAAATATCTCTAATAAGGTACAGTAGTTAATTAGGCATTAATAGCTACTAATGACTAGCTATTCAATATCCTTAGCATTCTCCATATGTGTGAAGTTGCAACTTTAAGTATTCTCAGTAGTACCAGAAGGGCCATCAAATCTTCAAAACATTTGAAACATTATTAAGTACTTTAATCTTTAATCTGATAAGTTCTAACACTTGTCCAATTTAATATTGTATTTAAGAATGAACTGAGCTTCAAAGCAGTTTAGACTGTTGACTTAAAATATATTTATTTTATGTTTTTAGAACTTTGAGACAGAGGAAAATTAAAATTTCTCCAAATTATCCAGCTAATAAATCAACAAATCAATAATCAATTGTAGCAGGTCATAAATCTAAAATAGCTATTCTGCATTCAGGGAAGGAGACAATTTGATTGACTGAGCATTTAGTTTTATACTTCAGCAGTTTTCCCATATGTCTCACCCCTTTGGTTCTATTTCATATTATCTGTCACTCTTCTTTTAGAAACATATCTTTCTAGATATATAGAACATTTCCTCTGTAGTGATTGACAGTGTTTTTTAACATTACTCAGCTATCCCTGTTCTGAGACAACAGTAACGAGGAGAGATTTTTATATCAGTGCACCAATGTTTAAGTAACATTAGAAAATACTCCAAATCACTACAGTTGTGGAGAAATGGCTCTAGTTTCTTTCATGAGTATTACTGGTTCTTAAATAGTGGAAGGCCACTAGATTTTTAATAATTGTATTTTTTACAAAATGAATAATGATATCCACAGAATGGATATATTTGAATATATTTTAAAATCATTATCAAGTAGGGTACTAAGTATAAGATAAACAGGCTTTGGGTTTCAGGTCAAGAAGCTAGAAGACACAACTGGTACAAGACACACTTTTCCTAAAAGTATTCAACTTCCTGTCTTTTATCATCTCTCTGCCCAGCACTACCAAGATGCCACTGCCTACCCTATACCCCGTGAACTTAAGTCCATATTATTAACTCTTATACCCAATTGAAATAAACAAAGAATAATCAACTTCTTTGTGGTCCTGATGATTCCATATGAGGAAGACAAGATGGCTCCTATCCTAAGTATAGACTTTGCAGAAGATGCTTGGGGATGTTCCTAAGGATTTGATTGAACTTTAAGCATTAGTTGTCTCTTGGAATGAGAAAGTGGTTATAGGCTTAAATTGAATTATAGCACAGTGCCCTCTCTCTGCGCAGAGAATCCAGAGAATCCCTTGGTTTTCAAAGAGACCAGCCATCCCGGCCTCCTTTGATCTTGGTCTTCAGTACTACCAGTCATGGTATTCTTCTGGACAGATCAGAGTGTTGGAAGTGCGAGGCATGGTGTAACAATGGTTTTCCTCCTTCTTCCAAGTCATTTCCAATTGTATTGATAAGTGAAGAAATCTAAGCTTAGGCCCTGCACTTTGGGGTATCTTGAGTCTCAGATCTCTCCCTGCCATTGTTTAAGATTTTAATGGAGCTGCTGGATGAGTTCATCTATTCTTCTGGAGCTCAATAGCAATTTTATGATGATATACAAGTTTACATCTCAGCTCTAGCAGGACTGAATAGATGTGCATTTGAAGGCCATCTGGATCCAGGGAATTTCCATATTTGGCTCACATTAGTATAGCATTACTCCATACAGTGCTCAGTTTGGAAGGTCTCTTGGATTAATGGCTCCTGCTTGAACAGCAAGTGGCAATCATCATTGACTATGCAAAGCTATCCTGTGTGCCAATTTTGTCCATTTCTGGATCAGGAAGTCTCACTTACAGTCTGCCACACATTTGTCAACTTTCATCTAGATTACTGCAATGCAATAAACATAAGAGTGTCCGGAAGACTACTTGGAAACTACAGCTGGTCCAAAATACAGCAATTCAAACAGGGGTGGGTTGCTGGGGGTTTTCAGGGGTTTGGGAGAGCCCCTAGCTAAGGTTTTGTGCAGTTTGGAGAACCCCCAAATCCCACTCCTGACTGTCCCTGCCTATCCCTCTCCATCCCTCCCAGGACTCCCCACACGGCCTGTTTTGAATGCAAATAAGCACAGGGGGCACATGGAGGCTTGGGGAGGGTGAAAAACATGCCTCCCAGAAATTCAGGAAGGTCATTTCTGGCTTCCAGAGAGCCTCTGGAGCCCGGGGAGGTCATTTTCACCCTTCCAGAGGCTTGAGGAAATCCTCCAGAGCCCGGGGAGAGCAAAAATGCACCCACTGCCATGGTGCAGGAGGCTGATTAGGCCATGCCCACCATGGCCATGCCTACCCAGCAACCAGGCAGAGAATCCATTGCTAAATTTTTTGAAGCTCATTCCTGAATTCAAATAATTCTAAGCATGCCTTAATAAGCTCATGTAATACCTTTACTACGTGAGGTATATTGGTTATCTGTAAGCTTCTGGGTCAATTCAAGATGGCCTATAAAGCCATTCTTGTCCAAGGACAGGCAATTTGACTGCCCTTCTAATAAGTTAAGACAAAGAGAGCATGGTCTAGGTTCTAACAATTAATAGATCCCAAAAGAAGCACCTTTTCTTTTGCTGCACCTACTCTATGGAACAGCATTATCTCTGAAATTTAGATGGTCTTGATCCTGCCCACCATTTGGATGACTCTAAAGATGTAAAATAATGGGTTTTGTAACAGTCTTTCCTGATGGTTGCTCCTGGATAGTTGGATGAAATTGCCTCAAAAGTAGTAAGTTTTATTATTTGTAATGGTTGTAGTTGTTTGTTATATGTCATATACTCTGATTTGCATGTAAATTGGTGGCTATGTAAATTGATCAAAATAAATAAATAACACTACAAATTTAAAACAAACCTCAAATGTTACCATAGTAGTAACTGAATTTGCTTATAGACTCTATAGAGAATTTGAAGAGTTCTCTTTCAGGAAAAGTTTAAAATTTATTTACAAAATCACATTTTATTACACACAAACACACTTATTTGCTCTGTTGATGTGTTTTCATTGAAGCAGTCAGTCTCCCACAATTTAGGGCTTATCACAGTATTCAATCTTGTAGGGAAACTTTCATTGTTGTTTATGTGAGTATTCAAAATCCAGCTTTCTGGTACGTAGGTGGCTTGGTGATTTGTCAGCATGCCATTCTGGATCAGCCCTTTATGAATTGTTTTTAAGCAACAAAATGGACAATGAAAGCTTTTATAGCAGCTGCCTAATTAGGAGTAATTATTCTTGTTAACTTTGCTAAAGAACTGGACTATGTGATGAATGTAAACTATTCATTTTGGGGGTTTTTCCCTATACCCATTTGCAGCAGGCAAGTTCATCTTGTAAAATAGCCTTTAACAGCTTTGCTATTTCATGTTCATTTTGCAGATTGAGAATGTTGATGTATGCCTTAGCTTTCTGGCAGCCAGAGGAGTAAATGTCCAAGGTCTTTCTGCTGAAGGTAAGAGAACCACATATAAACCAAGAAAGTAAAATATCTTTCTGAAAAGTTCATGAACTCTATTTTCAACTTGCCATCTTGAAAAAAAATATTTATTATGAATTACCCACTTTATTTTTTGGAATCAGTTGTTTCTATTTAAGAAAATAAATATTTCATTTGGAAGTCAAATGAAATACTCAAATTATTGATTTATTCTTGGGTATATTTTGTCCATTTAATTTCTTACCTATATTTCTAAACAGATATATGGTGTAATTTCCAAGTACATTGCTGAACATAGCATGAATATAATACAGTATTGCATTGTGTAAATCGCTGAAATTTAGCATAGTCAATTAGCCTATAAATTCACAAGACATCTCATTTTAAGTAGTACATCTAGATTTTATTGCCTTCGTTGGTTCTGTTAACAATTATGTGCATTCATGTCACACTGTGATCAAATGCTTTAAAACTTTTGTCGGTTTGTTTAAATTTTTACTCTTGCGTCACATATTATATTATCTTGGGGCAAATTAGATTTTTAAAAAAATATCCTGGTTTTTTTTAGCTTCACGATTAATATTTAGTTGAAGTAATGTCAGAAATTATTTTATTAGGATGTTCAATAACTATTTTTGAATTTTAGTTTCTGTTTTATATGAAATTAATTATGCTATTGCCAAAGATTTCAGACTCATTCAAATGTTATTGTTCATTTCTGGAGAAACTTGAAATAAATTATTTCTTGATAAAGAAAGAAGTAATATAAAATATTCTATTTTGTTTTTTAAGAATGATACAATCTCAGTTTTTATTTTATTTTAGAATATTTATTTTATTAAATTTCTACACTGCCCATCTCACCTAAGTGATTATTGATAGTACTAGATAGAACATTCATTATAGCTTTCTGTGATTGTGAAAGAGGATGTATTCTCAAAAAGAGTTCTTAAAAGAGATTCTCACATTTATTTTTTCTTGTTATCATGTATATAAGTTTCAATTACCTTAAGTCCATTGATCAGGGAACCCTGAATGGCAAAAACAGGCCAGTAAGAAATCAGATGGAATTATTTTGATATATTACTCAAATTGAAAAATGGTTGATTATGTCTGTCTTTTAGATGAACAATGTCAATTGTACATTTCTTTTAAATGTACAGCATATTGATTGATATCAATATCAATAAAGATTTCCTATTATCAAGAAAATAGCAACATAATTTTATATAATTAATGGTTTTTAATTTCAGTTAAAGATGCATAAGCTTGCATTATTTTATAACCACATCTGTCATAAGACTTTTTATCAGAGAATTAAAACAAAAATAAAAGCAAAAAAAACCCTGTCCAGATTCAGGAAATGGAAAAAATGTCCTACAGATTTTTACTGCATCTTATTTTGATCATAAAAGAGCTGTGATTAAACATAAGAAACATTTTAACTTTTTTGTGGGGGGAGAAATTAGATGAAATTTTCAAATAAATCAGCTGGTTTAATTTAAGATGAACCAACAATACTTTTTTGATGTAAAAACCAGAGCTGAATAAATAGAAGGGAAAATAATTATTATACCAATATAATAATGAATGAGAATTTAGTGAGTTTTGGTCCTATCTTTAGACACAGCGAGGCAGTTGGCTCCCATAGTTAATGCCAGAGAGCAGGGTGATATTGAGAACATACTTTATGATCTCAAAACAGTTCAGTCCTCTCAGAAGCAACTTAAATAAATATCAGCTAAAGATAAAGATTTAAGTACTTCTCTAGTCATCCTCTGTACACATAAATGTATAGGTATTAAGTATGAGATGGGATTTTTACTGGTTCTAATATGAAAACTCCTCTTGGTTGCAGAGTTAAAACTTTTTATCTTGCAATTCTTAAAGTGTGAAGAGATTAGTTCAGACAAAGGCAATCCTTAACTTGGTCTCTAGAAACTTAAAGCTTCAAAAACCACAAGCAGCACTTTGACTTGGGCTTGGAAACATATTTAACCAGTATAATCCAAGACATGAATGAACTGGATATGATTCTGAATGGTTCTGGATTGTCTACACTAACAGCCCAATATAGAAATGTATGTAATGATCCAACAGAATTTAGCATTGTATATATTGCTGAAGGAAGGCACAATACCACTTTAGTTACAGTGTTATGAAATTATTGGCCAACATCAACAAATGTTATCATCATGTTGATTATTTACAAAACTATTACCTTTTAAGTAGTGATTATCAATGTGTTTGAATATACAGTATTTATGTAGATAAATTTGGTGTTATTAGCCAAAGTAAATAGTTAAAGTTATAAAGTGAAAGTAAATACTTTATAAGAGTTCAATATATGAAATAAAATTTATGTCTAATATCCAATATGAAACATGAGATTCCATCATAAAAATCTTTAAAAATCTTGTCATATTAAATTCAGATATAAGGAAGTTTGCAGAACTGAAACAATAGCTGATGTCCATTAGGTACATCTGTGAAGGCAAAGCTAATTTCAATATTTTCATTTCCTTCTTTTTGTCTGTGCAGAAATAAGAAATGGAAATTTGAAAGCCATTTTAGGACTGTTTTTCAGTTTGTCTCGTTATAAACAGCAGCAGCACCAACAACAGCAGTACTATCAGTCCTTGGTAGAGCTACAGCAACACATCTCTCATTCTCCGAATCCTCCTGAGAGTGGCCAATCCAAAACTCAGCAAGATATGCAGTCCAGGTAGGTCAGATTATTTCTTTAATCAAATTGAACCCGAAATTGCTTTCTTTATGCAACAAATCTTTTCAAGCTTCTCAAAACAAAATTGAAACTGTGAAGTCAATGAAGTCTTATGTGGAAGGAAACCTTTTAGAAATGTTCAGAGTACTGTAATTGCTTAAAACAGTTTATAAACAATTGTTCAGATATTTTTAGGCATTTAACTTTTTTCCCCCTTGTTGGTAATGAGATGAAACTGGTTGCTGGAAACTCACTACTTACACTGAAGCCTGATGATGCTTCATCTGGGAGAAGCTCATTTTAAGGAAATTAATTTCTGATATTAGTAAAGAAGAGAAGATAATCTTGGGGTTTTTTTTCTTGAAAGAGTAAATTTTTAATTCTATCATAATTTCTGTTTGCTGAACATAACAGAAAAAAGTCTTTTGTTTCTCTATTTTTAAATTGCTTTTATTTCCAACCTAAAATAAAGTGATCATGTTTTTCTCTAGATAGTTTTTAATCAAAGGGGTTTGGGTGCTACCACTGTGGATGAATGGTATATGTTGTATGAGAGGTAGCTTACAAAGAAAAACATTTTTAAAAAAACCATGGAGCTCCCCACAGTGAATGCAAACCAGCTATTGCTTATTTAAATACAACAATCAAATGGCAGGAATAGAGCTGCTTATAAGTATCCTAGCACTTAGTGGATCAGATTTTTAGAAAGAGAAAGAAAAACTATAAAATAGAGGAAATATCATTGGTATAACAAAACAGTGTTTCCTCCATCAAAAACAAATATTTTGCTTTGTATAATTATACAATTAGAGGTTGAATAAATTGGTTAGCTAATTTCTTTTTCTATTAAGCAATAACATATGCTATAATTCTTTTTTAAAAAAATTATGATTTTTTGTGTTCTGACATTCAAAATCTTAATGTTTACTGTGAATCTTTTTCTTCACATTGAAGTCATTCAGTTAAGAGCATGGTTTGGAAATAAACACATACATAAATTTTACTTATACTTATTTATATAAAAGATTGTGATGTGATTTGAATAGTAGTGTGGCAAGCTTGTTGGACTATGGTGGGATTAAGAGTTTTAGGAACTTTAAGTTCATGGTTCAATGAAGAAAAGAGTGTTGCAAAACTTTTGCATACATCTCTTGCTGGTTTTAAATTCTTAGTGTATCAACCTTCCTTTCAAATGTGTAGACCCAAAACACTAGGTGGAGAGTGAGTGAAGAGGAGTGTGGGTCAGAAATGGTACCTGGGATGGGTTAGGTTGAGAGAGTCTGTCCCAAGGTGGCTTTCATGGCTTTCATAGCTTTCTTGGCTAGTAGTATACAGATGACCTGCTGCCCAGGGAATTCTGGAAATTGAAGTCCACACAGCTTGAACTTCTCAAGGTTGTCAAACACTGGTTTATTTGAATATTTTGCTTGTATGATCAACATTTATACTAGGGGTATCAAATTGCATTATCATGGTGTCGTCACATGACATATTGCGATTTCCTCCCCTCCCCTTTGCTTAACTGTGCATGGGCTTGGCCATGTGATACATCTGGCCTGCAGACCGCAAGTTTGTCAGCCCTAACTTATACTAATATATCTATATCTATATATACTATTGGAAATAGATTATGTTAGAATTAAGTAAAATATAACAGCCAACAATATACAGTATTTCAGTTTTTCTTTATTTATTTAATGATAAATAAAGATATTTTATGTGGCTTTAAGCATGTTTCTAAATCAGGTAATTTAATTTAATAATTACAGCTAATGAAACAAATATTGTTCATATTCATTCTGACTTATTAAAAAGTGAGGAAGAATTATTGAATAAAAATACAACTTATGCTTTTGCATGAGGAATTATAAATGCTAATTTTTAGTGATTGCTTCTAGTTGGGCCCTTGTCAGCATAGCTATGCTTATACTTTCACTATAGATGGAAATAGCCTAAGTTTTTCAAAGGACTATGTCTGTGATAATTGGAAATATCTTTCTTTGATACACTATCATCCTGGATGTTAAAAAAAGAGAATGGCCAATTCATTGTTTCTGTGAAGTTAAAAGCAGGATCTTTTTCCCCTCGGTATATCTTTTACTGATATATGTGATGAAGTTAAATTTTTCATTACACTAAGAAAGTTCAAGAATAATGAACAGCACACATTCTTAAAATGACAAATGAATCATTCAATTCAAACTTCATCACTTAAAACAAGAATCTACCAGATGTGCTAATACTGACCAAAATGTATTAAGAATTATAATTCACAAAAGTATGGACAACTGAAGCCTTCCTATCCTTCGACCTTGAATTTTATCAGCTGAGAACTTTGCATGAGAACAATAGTCTTCATTGTGCATGAGCAGACATTCTCAAAATACATTAAGGAGTCATACAGTATTTTTAAATGTACCCACTGCAATCATGACATGCCCAGCTGTCCATCTCATGATGAGAAAATGTTGCATAAAATAAAAAAAAAACACAACAATAGCAAGCTTATTTGTAACTGTATTTCTTGACAGTTTGTCTTTCTATCTTATCTGGAGTTTCTTGAACAATATCCCTAAGCTGCTACCATTACTTATGTGTGTATTGTCTCCCATGAATACCATTAATTCACAGCTATATAATTGTGAAGCTACTGTATATTGTAATAACTATATAGCAAAGATACGTATTCTGGCACATACATGTAGTACATAAAATGCCTTCATTTAAACAGTTTAACACCTTAATTGCAGAAGATTCATAAAGTAAGACCTCCCACGAATGATTGTTTATTCAAAGAAATGTAAAATACAAATTTGACTACAGTGGTATCATATTTGAAAATGGAAACCACAGTGGTTTGGAATCCTGGCAGTCATAATTCTAAGAGACCCCAAAGACATCAAAATAAGAATCTTAACTAGCCAGCTGCTTTGTTGGCAGGATCAATAATATTTAATCTATGCAATAGAAATAAAAACGGAGATAAATATATAGAGACTGATATATAAATAAAAGTTCTCTTGCTATGTGATATCTTTCCAACTATCCACATAGTGAAAGAAAAACACATTTATGGGTTAGACAGAAACTGATTATAAAGCTGTCAGCAAAATCCTAAAATATAGATAAACTAAGATTATGACCTGTAGACATAGTGGTAACAACTTGAGATTCATATGGATCTGATTAATACATTAGTTTATTATTTATTACTTTAAATATGCAATGCTTTTAGTTTGTGAAACTAGAAATCATTTTTTCAATGTAGCTGATACACTATTTTCCAAATAGGAGCTACATGAATGCTAAAATTCACAGAATCAGCAGCTTTGTGAAGTTCTCATGTTAACAGCTAGCAAATTTAATAAATGAAATAGTCATGAAATAGAAAAGATCTTGAAAATATTTTATATGTATTATGCTTTGAGTACAAAATATCATGTGTTCAGCTAGTGGGGCCAGATTAATGTCATAAATTAAGTCTACCATTTTATTATTGGGTGAGCAACAGTGGTGAGTGTTGTTATTATTTTTACAACATTCTTGCTTCTAAAAGAAGCAATTGTTTCACTCTTCCTACATCCCTAGTTTAAAAATGTGATGGTAGAATGAAAAGTAATACATCCAATGTACAAATTGCCAATAGATGATAACACTGATGTGCTAGAAACTGTCATCATTTTTTTACTCCAGTTGGCAAGGAAGTTGCTGCGAGAAAGAGTTGTCTTGTTATTGTTTACAAAATTGAAGCCTACATGACCACTTGTCAATTCACCTTAACCAGCATATTGTGACTGAATTCTTAAAAGCTGAAATAGTCTTTCCAATTCAAATCCAACATCAGATGCAGATTGCTTATGACACTATGTTGACATGAATACTGTGTGATACAGAGTAAAAAAGATATAAAGTTGATGAACAGGCCCTCTGCCGCTCTCCTCCCAATCCTGCCATGCCAGTTCCCTGCAGGTCTTGGGGTTGCTCCCCACTCACATGATACCCATTATACACTTACCTTTTCAAGACCTCTGGATGCCATGTTAGGGAAGGAGGGCAAGCTAATCATCACTGGGCTCTGTGGCTGCCTCCTGGAATGGCCACCATTTTCAGTGCACTCACAATTCCTTGCTAAAATGGTGGCTACTTTCAGGAGGGATCAGGAGGGATCAGAATGAACTGTTTCACGTTGCTTCCCAAATGCAAGCTGCACAATGCTTCTCATTCTACTTTAAAGTTACAATTTTCAATAACATTCCGGCAAAGAATCTCTTTTCCATAGAATATTTCTCTTTAAGTTTCAAGGATTTTTAATTATTATAAGGAGTTTTATACCAGTCTTTTAATCTTTTTCTTAGTTTTACAAATACATCAAACAATAACAAATATTAGTACTATTATAAATAAATAGGAATTATAGTACTGAGTTACAGGGTGAAATCCTTGTTAAATAGTTTTTTGTTTATTCTCCATTTTGTGTGGAACTTGTTGACCTCCAGTCAACACTGTCTTGGCTAATCAAAATAGATTAAAATCCTTTCCATTCTAGGTAATATTCTTACGTTTCCAGTATTTCTAGGGCTGAAATTCTAGACTTAGAAAAATTCACTGAATGTTGTAAAACATCCATATAGAGAAAAGTGCATGCTGAAGTGACTGTAATGCCTCAAAATACATTCTCCCCACATACACACCATTGTAGGTCCCCACACTGTCATTATTTTATGTGCAACTCTGATAGAACAAATTATTACTTCTGTTTATAATTCTGAGCAATATGGTTCTCATTGTTTTTTCTACATAATAATATTAATAGCTAAACACAAACATTAATTACTTAAATTTACAGCAATAACTTTTTGTTATTCTACATCCCAGCAATTGGTAACATTATTAGATGATTCTAGAGTTTATCTGTCATATATTATATGAATGGGATTACAAGGTTGATACTTTTTGAATAAACAAAACCTGAATTCCATGAAATCAGGCCACTTAACATAAAATGTGTCTATTAGATGCTTTCAAAGAAACTATTGTCCCACACCCAAATTAGGGAATTATCATTTTCTGTATTTAATTTCTTCTGTAAGTAGTCATGAATGACATATCATTAACAATAAATAAAATATTCAAATACTTATACATCTAGAATTAATGAGGCAACAAGGAAATTAGGAACATTTTGCTAGCCTCAAGGATATTAAATAAAAAACATTTATTTAGAATTAATTTAACATTTTAAACAAGCTTTCTATGCTTTAATTATTTGGAAGAAATAATATTGGGTTACGTATTATATTCAGATATTAAAGGCATTACATTGTCTTCTATGTTCTGAAAAATAAAATAGGCAGCAGTTTAAATAGTTAAAATTACACACTGAATACTTAATAATACTTAGTTGGAATAGTATTAAGTGTTTAATGATGAGTTTATGTAGGAATCAGACAAGACCTTTGCTATGTTTCTCTATTGTTGCAAAATCTGTGAGGAAGAACAAAAGGAAAGTAGTTTTGGTCTCCAGTCTTGTAACTTGGCTTTTGCCTTAATTCTCTAAATGCTGAATGAATAGGAGTTGGAGTAATTAAAGAAGAAAAGAGCAATTAGTTCCTATTTTACAACAGTGTGTAATACCTTTCAAATTTGCAAAGCATCTCCGAAATATAAAAAGAAAAGGGTAGGAGCTTTTGGAAAATGCAGTTGCTGGCAAAATTGTTTCTGTGGGCAGGAAGCATGAATCTGATAGTAGATAGACTAAAGAGTAGTAGTGACAACTTGGATAACATAAGTTCATGTGCCTACAGTGTACAACTCTTAAGATAACCTAAAAGCTTGCAGGATCCTGGGAACTGAAATAACACTCATCTTTTAGGTTGTATATGGAAGGGAAGCCATTTTAGCCTTTAGCAGTAGAAGATGTTAAATATAAAAGTATGAAAAAAAAAAAGAAAAAGAAATGGCTTGGGGCAAAGTGAAAATATTCTTCCTTGTCACTTCTCAGGAAGTATGTCTCTTAAATTATAGAATCCCTTAAATTAAAATCCCAAACAGGGTAGGCTTCCTACCATACCTGATATTAAGGTTCTACAGATATGGAACAATTCAGAATGTTAAAAAAAATCAGTCCTAGTGAGAGACAATTTTTTTAATGATGTTAAATATGCTTAGATTATTAAAATTAGTCTTGAGATAAAATTAAAATATTAAGATGTACCTATTGGTATACCTTAATTCTTTCTATGTGTAGGTCTATCTTTATTACCTATGCATCTATAAATATGATTTCATTGAATATTTGGAAATGAAAGGAGAGATTACAGATAGATGGACAGATAGTAGATGATAGATAACTACAAATGATAAAATAACATTTTGGTTTTCACATTGAGGAAGCTATTTTTTTAGCTTACCAGCACATGGACTTTAGCACTGGATGCTGTTTCAATCTAATTAAGCAATTTATTTAATGCATTCATCTAGTCTAAAAATAATTTGAGTGTTTACAATCAACATTTTCTTCTCTTATGGTTTTTATGGACTGAGTTTTAGGTTGAAAACAGATTATTTCATTGCAAAATAAGCTGTATCTTTATTACTCTCAACACAGTTATTTTAGTCCCTTCTCCAATGCATAGAAATCTCGATGCTGCTTAGCTTTAATTCCACATAGAAGCATTTTCTGTTTCCAAAAGAATATAGAAAATCATACCTCTTAAACTGAAACTAAATGTGAGCTTTTGCTGATGTGAAATATGATCACATGAAAGTGACTGATTTATATAAATTGTCATGGAACAGGGTTTTGTGGTTTGTCTTGTTTTTGCTTGACTGTCAAGTAAATAAGCAAATTAATGCTGAATCAAGCTGTTTTGCCATTCTTTCTGCATTCTGTATTCTTTACTCTTGTTTCCTACTGTTATACTGTTACTTTGGAAAAAAATACCAAAGTTTAAATCCAAATCCTATGAATTTTTTCATGACATTTTCCAAACTTTTGCCTATTTGCTTAATGCTAAATAGCTAGACTACAGCACTGCTTTGTTTGCTATTTCTAATAGATACATAATTTGCCTAGGCATTAAGTCAAAGCAATCTAGATAAAGCTCAGTTTGGCAGAATTTTTCTGCTTTCCATTTCAGTCCTTGCCTGCCTACATATTCCCTTTGTATATCTCAGCCAAATTTCAATCAGCTCTCTAGTGTTTTTTTTTAACTATTTAGAAGAGTTAAATTTTCAGCTTGCCTTCTTTTTAAAACCAGAATTCTGACTTGATGCAATTCAAAAAGAAGTTGACCAAATAATGAATTGTCTATTCATATCACATCCTGGGTTATTTAATACATCAAACAAAGTCATGTCACTTGTCTTTTTCATCACTTTTCAGTTAGCTTTATTACATTCTTGTCAATCCTAGTCCAGCACCTATTTTCATCTTTAACTTTCTATCTCACTATTTGCCATGTTGCTAGCATGAGATGTGCTTACAACAAATAATCTTCTACTCTTTGGCTAAGAATATTTCCACAGCAGTAAGAGTTGGATTATTATGGATGACTGGTTTATTTTATAACAGTATGATCACTTTGGCAGTGGAACCAAGTGCTTAGAAATGTAGCGAATGTACTCAAAGTTTGTTTGCACAGTATGCTATAGTGGACTTTGGATATCTTTTTGATGCTTTAAGTTGGATTCCTACATTGAGCACAGGATGAATAGCTTCTTCCGACTCAATAAATTTATTAAATAGTTGGAAAATAATCTGTAGAGTATGATAATGAAGATTCATAACTATCTGCTGCTGGGTAAAAGTCATACTGATTCTTTGCCATTTCTAAAATATGCCCAGCCTGTAGCCATAAAATGCTATATAACCTTCTCAGTGATCTGAAATAGTCATGGTCTATTAGTGATTTTGAATGGGTATCTTTTAAAATATTTTAATCTTCAATTTATATAAACAATAGAGTTCTACACTGAAGGATCATTTGACCATAAAAGTGGACCAGGTAGAGAATTCTGCAGTGATTTCAGATGTGTTTAAAGCAATTACAACATTTGAGAGGACGTTTCTCTATAAATAATATGAAGAGCAACATAATTTGTATTTTAGAAACTCTGTCTATTAACATTACATTTGATTCTTCAGTTTGCTTTCTACTCATGTTCTATCCATGTTCTGCATTAACTCATCAGTTGGTGGTAAGTTTGTGCTTTTTATGCATACTCAACAACATTCTTTAATTCAATTTCTCTGTTTCTTCTCATGCAGTCTGACAGCCAGATATACAACTCAGTCTAATCACAGTGGAATTGCAACCAGTCAAAAAAAGCTTTCTAGGTCAGTTAACATCTCTAATTTATTGCTTGCTAGTGATGCTTAGTAGAGTCACTGCCCACTGGCATTTTTATTCTCTGAGCCACAATAGATATTAAGGTATTTCATCATAATATTTCAGATGTAGGTTTTACAGCATGTTCTGTTGATTAGTAGAAAACTGGCCATGACTACAGTAAAGAATCTACAGTAGGATAGTTGTAGAGAAATCCTTATGATGTAGCTTAGCAATGTAACATCAATATTTCAAAAGAGTTGTTCAGTGTCTATTGGCAATTTATACTCAAAAGCTCTAATTCAATTTAAATTGAAGGTTACATTTGTTTAACCTAAGAGGCCTTTATGTTCTTCAGAAGTATTGAATCACTGCAGTAAGAGTATTAGCTTGGAGTAATAGACATTTAGATTAGAACCAATTTTCCACATAGAGAATAAGCTCCTCTCATTGAAAGGTATTCAATTGTCTGGGATGCAGTAATTTGATCTTATGTACCAAACAAAGTTTAGATTTTGCATCCTAACTGGCTACATTCAAGTCAAGGTTTTAGAATTTTAAGTTGTACTCTAGTTTCTTTGGAGGGAAAACAGCTGGTAAAAAGCTTGAAATATAATTTTAGCTGTGCTTCAGAATCTTGTTTGCAACTGATGGTTGCTTGTTAGTCTAATTTCTAGGCTTGTCTATTCTGTTCACAGTGGTTGGGTTTTCACATTTTCACATTGCATTAATTCAGATAATTGTTTTTTTTTCTTTTACCTTGGTTTGTTGAATAAACTATGTATGTTCAATTGTGCTCCTACTACCAAGCCATTATATTCAGTAAAAAATAAATTTGGTTAATTGACTAGTAGAGTTCTTATCCGACTAAAAACAACAATAACAACTAGTACTTATTCTGAAACACTACAACAAAGAAACCAGACCTGTGTATAATATAGCAGTCTGTGGGGTTGGGAATAGAAGTATACAACTGTCTTCTAATTTATTTTCCATTATCATTTTTCACATAAAGGAAGAACTGTTAAAAAAGACTCTGGCTTTGCACTAAAGTACAATTCATACAAGTAAAGCAGATTGAGATCCTGAAGTGTCTAAACTGGAATAGGAAATACTCCTTGACTCAAGAATCCCTGTCAATCTGTGTAGATATGGTATTTATGTTGAATATTAAAAATACTGGAATATTAAAAGTACGAGAATAAAACAATTTGTGCTTTTCCAGTGCATATCAAAGACACTTAAAAGGGTTTAAATGAAATGAAGTATTTGGGGGTAAGCATAATTTCTGTGAAAGTGATTAGAAACAGAACATATTTTCAGTGTAAATGGTACAGCTCTTTATAGTCTGGATGTCAACGTATAACCCTGTCACTGTTTCCAGTTTTGTGGCTTTCTTATTTAGAATTACTGCTTGCAGTTCATTTACTTTCTAAAGAAAGACACCTGGTTCTTCCTTTCGTGTTCAGTCTGTGTTGATTATGTGTATTCCTTGAAAAACAGTTCATTACTGGCAATGAACTATCAGTTGGTAGTCCATGATTGAGTCATTCTGTCTGAGTTGCTAAGATGAAATGAGCTATACCAGAGTGCAGTTGTTGTGCACCTGTGGTCGTAGGTTTTCAGTCTCATTTCTTATGGACTCTCTTGTCTCCTTCACAATTTGTTCTGTCTGGGAATTAGCAGTTTGTCCATGTATAAGGGAATTTTGTAAACTTCTAATCAAAAATACATTTTTGTAAATTATTTTTGCTTTAAACTTTGCATTTCCTTGGTTGCTTAAAATGATTTTATGAATAAAATAATGGAGTTAATATATTTATTTATTCAATTTCTATTTTTTGAAAAATGCCCTTACATTTTATATTTCACATGGATTTTAACATAGTTAAGTATAATTGACTTGGTAGTTGGAGATTGTGTTCATAGGTTTTAAAAAAAACTCTAGAAATGAAACAATCTGTTCTTCTTGTAAGCATAGATAAAATAACTTCAGAGTGACTACCAGAACATATTCTCCTAAAAGCTGAACACAGACATATAAAACTTCAGTTTATATCATAGCAATCAAATATGAAATGGAAATATTAGATAAGCAGTTGCAAGACTATTTTTTATAATGTATAAGTTCTATGTAGAAAAAGGTCAGGGTTTTCTGGAGAGGATACAGTTAAAAGGCAGACACAGTGAAATATTAAAAGTATGTTTTTTTCTATTTATGCTGTGTTATCTTTCAGTTATTGATAATGGTGATAGGGGGTTTTTATTTTCATTTTTAACAAAAGTATCTGACTTACATATTAGTAAAATTCTATTGATGCTGCAAAATCTCTACATTTATCACTAAACCGGGCCATGAAAAATATACATTGCATAATGTGAGTTTGTAGACAGTGGCATTTTTATTTACTTTACTAACCAGGAAGTTTCAGATGGTGGCAGCAAACACCAACAAATGCAATATTTGACTGAAACTTTGATGGATGGTTCATTTTAATACAGCGATTTTTATTTCCAGACAAAAGCTTCTCAACCACACAAATCAGTAATCTCATTATCAAATACCTATCTATAAACAGGATAAAGAACAAAGAGTATTATGGTGCCTTAAAGCTTACATATTTATTATTTATCAATGCCACAATTATCTTTGTTGTTTTTGCCATCATAATTACTCTGCAGTCATACCAGCATTTATATAAGAAGTGGTTTAGACAGAGGATTACTCAAATAAACTCTCCACTAAGATTGACTTTTATTATCTTAGAAAAAAATGAAAAAAATTGAATTGCATATGAAGTATCCAGGGACTCATATGTGCACTGTGAATGGAAAATGAAAAGGGTCCTTATGTGTTTGTGCTTCTATACAGCATCTATCCTCCATTTGTACCTTTTGAGATTGATAACTCCATGGCAGTAGCTAACTAACCTTGAAGCAGATGCATGTTTGTTGTTGTTGTTAATCAGGTCTATGAATATTTTTATGAAACCATGTTACCTTACACATGTTTGCAACTGCAACACATTTATTTCTGTACTGTACTGTTCTAGGCTTCCTGGGCCTTCACGGGTGCCAGCTGCAGGCAGCAGTACCAAAGTCCAGGGAGCTTCCAATTTAAATCGAAGAAGTCAGAGCTTTAATAGCATTGACAAAAACAAACCTCCGCAATATGCAAATGGAAATGAAAAAGGTGAGTGCTTAATAGATATTGTGTTATTGAACCAAAAGCCTAAGGAGATTCCTCCACAATTCCTGCCATTGCCCTGGCCTTGAGCTTTCTAGAACTTTAAATTAGTATACATAGAGCCACATGGGCTGTTTCAAATATGGGAACCAGAAAACTCATTTTTTTGAAAATGGGACCCAGAGTAATCATAAGGTGTTGAAGTAATGTCTCAATTCTATCTGAAGAAAACTGCATCATGGCACAGAATTTTTATTCTGGTTCTCCTCATACCAATACTGTATATATGGAAATATTCTTCAGAATTAGATTTAAACATCAAAATTGGATATGATCATGAGTCTTTAAAAGTTAAATGGTATTTTATTCATATATTATTTATTCACATATTCAAAGTGAGAAATTTAGGAAAGACTTATGTTTTTTTAATTCTAAAAGCAGTGTGTGTAACATTACATTCAAGATGCTATTCTTGATTTTAACCAAAAATCAAAAGTGACTATTCAATAATATAAAATAACATCCATAAATTTGAAAGTTGTCTTCAATATTTTTGCTGTTGAGAAGCAACCTTATCTGAATAAATATAACATTCCTTCAGTTTATGGCAATGGAAAATCAGATTCAAAACTTTTTTGTTTTTGTCTATGATTGTCTGAATCTAAATAAATGCTTCTTGACTAGTCAATCAAGAAACCATTTTTTGTGAAAATATCCTTTTTATCCTATATAGAATGATATTAAACAATAAACAGTGAACAGTGTTAACTGATATGCAAATACTGATACATATTACCTTCTTATGGTAAATTCTATATCTTTCACTTTTAAACACAATTACTTATAGAATTATATTAATAAAAATATGCTAACTAATAATCTTAATTTTCAAGGTAAAGGAACATGAAATTTTAAGTATACAACATTTTTAAAACAACACATACTATGCTTACCACAAGGTGGGAGTAGATGTCTTCAAATAATAGTATTATTGAGAATTCTTCCTGGGAGAATAACTATTACTGTTTCACAATTGTCATTTGCTTGGAAGGTATGCAGTGTTGCACACACACACACCCATATACACATACACATATACATACACATGCACACACACACTTATTCACTCTTATTCTGGATGTCTGTATCTTATGTATCACTGAGAATTTTGGTGGCCTTCAACAATATATAGATTGAATGAATGACTTAATAAGCAAGAAAAATATATTGACTACAGAATTATTATTTATATAATCATAGTTGTGACAACTTGTTTGTGAAATCTACTTACCTGCTACTGATAAGAAATCTTATTAATATTTTAGATATTATATATTTGGATTTTAATTGCCAACTAATACTCCATTAATTTGAGTTTTTTAAAAAATATATTTGCCTTCATTTGTATTTTAAACAGTTAATCAGTTTCTAGTTAAAAATGAATCAAGAACACAATGCTCAGAGGAAAATTAATTTGCACAATTATCCATAATTGAGTCTTTATTTATTTTTGTGTCTTTAACAAAATCCTTAAAATAATTATATTATTTCAATATATTATGAATGTTGTTTTTTATATCATTTGTGATGAATGCAGCTTAACCTTATAGCAACAGATTTTTTTAAAAAAAATATTAGCATTAGGAAAAATCAGTCTCATAATAGCAAGTCTATCCTATATTGTAGATGTAGATTTGCAGTAGTTTCCCAAACCATTCACAGGAGGGAAGACTAGCTCTGCTGTGAAATCCAATTATAGCCACAAATTAGAGGGATTGGTGGTATGTTTCATCAGCAAATCTAACTTGTTGGGCTTTGAAAATGTATACTCAGTACTGAAATCAACCAGAGACTTTAAAGGATTTTGAAGCTTGACTAGGAGTGGAAATTAGTTCTTGGAGATAGAACTAATTGTCATAAAATACAAAAATAAAAATAGTTATGTGAATAATAGCACATAAATAAAAATTAAATATGCCATTATAAATTTGTTCACAATGAAAGTTTTGTTTTAATCTAAAAAAAGTTTACCACTTTTTAATATCATGAATAGTGAAAATAATATAGAGTTAGTTTTCATTTAATGGCCACAGTTGGGACCAGCAACTCAGTTATTACATACTATGTAAAATTGTGGCTGTGCTTATGAACTTACTTCCCTTTCCATTGCTTTAGAGACCTGCAAAGGTCATAAATGCAACAACTGTATGCAAAGTTATCTCTTCATCATTATTGTATCTGCAAATGGTCACTATATAAGCCACTTACTAAATGATGACTACATGTAGAAAACCAAACAATGTATTAAGTATAATGTGTAGTTCAGTCTCCATTCAGCATTACTTCATTATATTGAATATGATATATTCGAGTCTCATTTGCCATTTTGTTTGGAAATTGCAGTAATTGAAATCTCACCTATCTGGAAAATGTCAAATTGGAAAAGGGTGCTGGATAGAACTTTCCAACATCTCAGCTTCTAGTTCAGATAGTATAAATTGAAATTAACATTTTCTGAATGCAATCGTGTACTCTTCTATTCTGATCTACGTCATTGGCACAAATCCTTGTACTGAATATTTGTAACACTTTCCTGGCAAATAATGACCATGTAAACTGAATGTGTGGAGATGTAGTACAAATCAGATTCCATGTAATACCATAACTTCCATAACTTCCTCTTCCAAATAACTGTTAATTTCACTTTTTAATTGTATATGTTGTAGATGTAAAATGAACATGTTATATATTCATGAGCATTATGTTATTCCTTCTGTTACTGGGGATGAAATTGGGTTAGCAGTAGAGAACAATATATATTAAAAATACTAAAACATTAAAACTGTAAAATATATACACACCAAACCTCTCAAAAAACATATTACGTTGACTAACAATGATTGGTTTTTAAGTAATAAACAAAACCATGCTCATATGGAAACATATTGCTCAATCTTTTTTATTGAGAAATAGTAGATTCAAAGACTGAAATTGACCAAATTGTTTTTAAAATGCCTTTCTTGTGGACATTGTTTTTGCTGTTATTGTTAGTTCTGGCCATCTCTTGTCAGATTGCTTTAGTCATCTTTATATTAAACTGTTTCCGGCTTTGGCTGCTGATGCAGCTTGATGGAAGATTTCTACAGTAACCTTTACAACAGTTCCCCAAATTTGATAGTTCATTAAGAGTACTATAGCAAATCATTGGGTCTGATTTGGTAAACACAGAAGTGCAGGTAGATATGGCTGGCATCAGCAGAAGACCCACTTGCTTCTCACATCCTAAATAAGAGGGCAACTTATAATGTTAATTCTATAGATTGTATAGATTTGGCACTAACTTATGATTTTAGTCATTAATAGGGTCTTTGGAATACTACTATTGTTTCAGTTATTCAGTTATTTACTTGCATGGGCAGGTTTTGTTACTAGCACACTGAGTATGCTTTGTACTTTCTCTCTCTTACCAACTAGAATCACCCAAAGGTCCTCACCCATCTGCAGGTATAAATGGAAATGTACAGCATCCCACCACCACTGGGCAGCAGCTGGTCTCTGCCATCCCCTCTCCAAGTGCCAGCAAGCCTTGGCGCAGCAAATCAATGAATGTGAAACACAGTGCCACCTCTACCATGCTGTCTGTGAAGCAGCAGAGCCCTGAAACCTCACCTACACCACCTGCAGACAGGCTAAAGCCACCTCTTTCTGAAGCTCCTAAAACACCTTCGTCTGGGCAGAAATCCATGTTAGAGAAATTCAAACTGGTTAATGCTCGGACTGTTTTACGGCCCCCTCTGTCATCATCAAATTCAGGTCCTGCTAACAGTGGAAAGGATGATGAAGCTTTTTTAGAGTGTGTTGAAGTGGATGGCTTCAGTGGTGGGCTCAGTACTGCTGGATTTACCACCAACAGCACCAAAATATCCCCTAAATTAACTCCTCCGAAAACTGGAAGCAAAAATATCAGCAATAAAAAGTCTTTGCTGCAGCCAAAAGATAAAGAAGAAAAGAACAAAGATAAAAATAAAGTTTGCACTGAAAAGGTGGCAAAGGATGAAAAGGAACAGATGCCTGAGACACCCACCAAAAAGACCTCAAAAATTGCAAGCCTGATTCCCAAGGGGAGCAAAGCAACTTCAGCCAAGAAAGAAAGTTTAATTCCTTCATCTAGTGGTATTCCAAAACCTGGTTCAAAAGTACCTACATCAAAGCAGAATAGTTCACTAGTATCTTCAGGAAGTAAAGAGACAGAAAAACTGAGGAATGCAAAAGGAAACCACTCCTCAACTATGGCAAAATCCCAAGGGAATGAGAAAATCTATGTTCCTTCCAGTCTCTCATCTTCTGAAGGAAAAGAGGCTAGTAGTACATCATTTTCTTCTCCTTCAATGGCTGCAGCCAGTGGGCATGTCCCAGGAAGTAGTATTGTCCATCTTCCTCAGCAGCAACAATACAGCCATCCCAATACAGCCACTGTAGCACCATTTATTTATAGGTAAGTTGGATTTACTCACACTTTATCATTCTTGTCTTTAATGATAGATAGATAGATAGATAGATAGATAGATAGATAATAGATAGATAGATGATAGATAGATAGATGATAGATAGTAGAATATAGGTGTGTGTGTGTGTGTGTGTTTTCGTAGATTTTCATGGGTACAGGTATGCAGGTCTTGGCGTGTTTGGGTCTTTTCCTGTGTAAGATTGAGAGTACTTGGTGATGTTTCGATGAGGTCCCGCTCACCATCTTCAGGCTGGTGCTTTTGGCTTCATGCTTGTGCAAGCAAAGCGTGATCTGAGCTGCCATTTCTCTATAAATACTGGTGGGGAGGTTGGCTGTGTTGTCATTTCTTGATTGGTTGATGGAGTTGATGTTTGCAGATTGACTGGCTTTTTTCTAAGAACATATGTGGTTGAGGTATTGGCTGTGTGTCTATCAGCCTGGGTAATGGGCTGTGTGATGACCTTCTGAGTTCTATTGTTTTGACATCCTGGATCTTGTACTGTAATCTCCTGGGTTGTAATGACCTGGGTCATGGGCTGTGTGATGACCTTCTGAGTTCTATTGTGACATCCTCATAGATGAAAGGCAACCACCGTCCAGAAACCAGACCACAGCTGCATCACCAGCTGCCACACACCCCGACTCCCAAACCAAGCAAACGGACACACACCATGAACACACAGCCAGGCCTCAGACTCAGAACCAAACCAAAACCTGGGACGTCACATCATAGCCACCCGCTCAGGATATCACATCACGGAACTCAGGACGCTACACCACAAAACCTCAGGATGTTACAACACAGCCAATGACCCAGGAGATTACAGCACGAGACCCAGGATGTCACAACAATAGAACTCAGAAGGTCATCACACAGCCCATGACCCAGGTCATTACAACCCAGGAGATTACAGCATAAGACCCAGGATGTCAAAACAATAGAACTCAGTAGGTCATCACACAGCCCATTACCCAGGTCGTTACAACACAGGAGGCTGATAGACACACAGACAATACCTCAGCCACACTTGTTCTTACAAAAAAGCCAGCCAATCTGCAAGCATCAACTCCATCAACCAATCAAGAAATGACAACACAGCCAACTTCCCCACCAGTATTTATAGAGAGACGGCAGCTCAGATCACGCTTTGCTCACACAAGCACGAAGCTGAAAGCACCAGCCTGAAGATGGCGAGTGGGACCTCGTCAAAACGTCGCCAAGCTACTCTCAATCTTACATGGGAAAAGACCCGAACACGCCAAGACCTGCACACACACACACACACACGTATATATATGTGTGTTTTCTTATGTTTTTGTGGGTATTTATATGAATGGTATTTAGGTTTTTTCGGGTATTTTCCCATGTCTTAATATTTGTGCTTTTAAAAAGCACAAATATTAAAACATGGGAAAATACCCGAAGAAACCTAAATACCATACATAGACACACACATACATACATACATACATACATACATACATTCTATATGTACACCACACACACACACACACATATATATACAAACATACATACAAACATACATACACATAAATACTTGAAATAGTGGAAAAATGTAAAATGGATCATGTGGAGACATCTTCCTAAGCAATTTAATTAGCACAATGGACTTGAAGCTTGTGTTGCTGGATTTGTTTTTTCTGCTGATATATTTATCAAATATGTTTATGAAAAGGCTGTCACATTTTCTTTTCCCATCTCAACAATGTTAACAATTATAATGTTGTATTACTTCCAATATTACCTATATTACTTGTACTGATTTCACCTTAATTATTATTTATAACAATTGCACTGCGATTTATATACTGCTTTATAGTGCTTTCCAGTCCTCTCTAAGCAGTTTTACAGAGTCAACATATTGCGCCCAACAATCTGGGTCTTCATTTTACCCACCTCGGAAGGATGGAAGACTGAGTCAACCTTGAGCCTGGTGGGATTTGAACTGCCAAATTGTAGGCAGCCGATAGTCTGCAGAAGTGGCCTGCAGTACAGCACTCTAACCACTGTGCCACCAAGGCTCATGATCTTACAGTAATAAAATATTACAATTGCTAAATTATTTTAGCATTTTGCCTACATGTGGACTCTATGCAACTAGTTAGTCTCCTTCTGTAGCATCAATAGTGGAATTTAAAATGACATAGCCGTTTCTGGATAAACTTGGAGAAAGTATCTTCTAGTGTGAACCCTCTGTATTATTGAAGGCCAGTGTTTGCTTGATTTAATCTGATTTTGATTAGGGACTTTCATCAATTTTGCAAGCAATAATTCAATAATTTACATTTCCCACCTAAGATTTGTTTTTGCTGTCATGATAGAAGGTAATAATAAACCTACGTGCAGAGCAAAAATATGGTCATTTCATAGAATAAACAACATATTAAAATTTTAAAAATCTAATAAATATGTATTTATGTTTCCCATGCTTTCTAAAATTGCATATTGTAAAACTCTATTTTAACTGACAATTTGCCTTAATATATAGATATAGAATATCCATTAAACAGGAAAATATCACTATAGCAATTTATGTCATTTGAACTAATGATAACAGTTATGTCATCTGCATGTTATGTTAATGCTGAAAATTGGCACAAATATCAACCAACCATAAAGGACTGAAGTGCTTTATTTATTATGGAGTATATTCTAACATCTTCCTGAAAAGAGGAAAAAGCTATATATAATTAAAATCTATTTAGATCCCTATTCTGTTCTTGGAATGGCCAATTAGATGACTATAGGAAATCTGTCAATGGAGTTTCATTGGATTATATCCTCAGAATTGTGCTCCTCAATAAGTCAAAGACAATGAGTTTTAGTCTGTAACTATCATGACCAGTAGACAGTCAGCCTTAAGAAAACAAATCTTAAGAAAGATTTTAATGATATGTAAATGATCCAACATCATTTACATATCATTAAAACTGTATTTACATTTGGATTTATGCATCCCATGTAAGTATGGAGGAACAGGCGCTATGTCAGGATTTTTATAATTCTCAGAATTTAAATAAATAACATATTTGTCAACAAGAATTAAAATCACAGGCTTTTTTCAAATAAAAGTTGGGTCACAGATTTTGACATAATTAGCAATAGTTTCATTAAGATAAAAAATAGCAGTGAAGACTCTTGGCTTCTTTTAGGCTATGAAAAATGTGAGCACTTGCATTCTGCTGTCATTGCTATGAATTTTTTCCCCCAAGGAAATGCTCCAGTACGTGCTTCATTTTTTAAATAGAAGAAACTCATGAAGTAGATAATTTTGAAAACAATTTCCCTATATCTTTCCAGTATTTTTTTTTTTTTTGCTAATGCTGGATTTTGAATTTTTCCCAGTATATGTCTATTGAAATTACCTCAACATTTTACCAATTTTATGTCCTATATTTTTCTATTCTGTGCTAAAATAACATGATGCTATTATAGGTGTTCGGGCTGTGAAAATACTATTCCAGACTCCATGACATTTTTTAAAGGTGTTTCTAGACTCTAACACTATTGTCACATATAAGGCTGAAAATTAGATTGTTAATTTATGAGAATGAGTGATCATTGATAATTCATGTTTTTGTACTTCAAATAAGCAACCATGCTGATATAGTTTTACTGTCAGAAACTAAATTATCTGAAAATTCATTTAAGAAGCCACCCTTTATCAAAGTATATAAAACAGCTGCTTGTGTATGCCAATTAAAGAATTAGAGAGATTGATAGTAACCAGAATTCTTGATATAAATTATTATTGATTATGCTACTTTGTGTAAATGGCACAAAGTCATTTCATCCACTGCTGGAAGGCCTACAATTCTATAAATTTGCTGCTTTTTTTATCTTGATTTGCTGCTTTTTCCAGTAAATTGGAAAAAAAGTTGGATTTTTCTCCTTTGATATTTTTCCTGTATTCTAGATTGAATTTGAAATGGAAAGAAATGTCTATTCATTAAAGGACACAGTTTGATTTTATAGATATTTATGTGCTCAGATGGTTCAAACTGACATAGCCAATAACCCTGAAAAAAACATGTGTGCTATTTAAGTGAAATGTTCCACACTGAACTCAGGAATTGGTTCATATTGCTCAATTGTCAATGCAAGTACTGAAAAGATGGAAGGTACCAGTGAGCTATGCCATTTTGATTGATGTTTAATTATCTATTTTTTTTCCTGCATAAATCTACTTTATCTCCTTTCAAGACTCACTATAACTTCTGTGACTTTTGATATATAGTTGACACACAAGTTCTGTAATTCTGAGCTTACTGCAAGCTGTTCTATCCCTAAAATGGCAAATTAGAGACATCAGCATGCTAGTAAATTTAACAGTTTGTGTCACTTGTAGTCATTGCTGCGAAATTAAAGTGGCAACATGCCAAACTCTGCCCTCAAAGCTAGGATTCTCAGCAAAACAGGATAAATTATTTCCCTATATATTTTTTGGTTAAAATATTTATCTTAAATTGTATATGCTGTAAAGATGTACAGATTTAGGATATAGTAAATGGAAACACAAATTTTAAAAAACTAAGAAAATAATCAAGGAATGCTTTTCTTTTTGAATTCCCCATCCTAACTTCTTAACTCATCTGTAAGTAAATGATTTCAGTTCCAATTTTCCTAATATTCTTTATTGTTATATTATATAAACTATGTTTTATAGTGATGTACATTTGTGAACACAAAAAAAACCCCTATCCAATCTTATTGAAGCTTTGAAATCCCAGAAAGCTGCAACACATGTTAACAACAAGACTTTTGGAATATGAGAGCAATGGGTAAGATATATTTGTGAGAAAGATTGTTTAATAATGGATTTTCAGAATAGAAATATAAAGCCAGGTTCTTGCTCAATCAGTGAGCATCATTTAGCAATAATAATCATTAACTTATGGAAGTAAATAGGGGACAGACTACATAATATGTCCCAGGAATATAATATGTCAAAGTAGTAACTAGGTAAAAGGAGTAATGAGAATTTTGATTTGATGGTTAAAAAAGAAGTTAAAAGAAAATGTTAAAAAAGAAAATGAGCAAAGTTAAAAAAAACAAGAAAAGCAAAATAGAACAGACACTCATAAAAAATCATGATAGATTTTTTTATCTACCAACACAAGAGAGTTTCTGGTTAGTTATTCATTGGGAAATACAGCTGAGTTTTATTGAGTGTTCAGATTCGTAATACTTAATTGGGATGCAACATTATAAAGAACTAGACAATAATAACATTTAAAACTTACATTAACCCACAAATCTGTTAAATGAAGTCATCCTTGCACAATAATATTTCGTCATGCTTCACATTAGGAAAGCAGAAGGGGGGGGGACTTTGAATATATTGTGCCCAAATTCGCCCAATTGTGACAT